TGAAAGCAGAACACATTTGCTCCATGTAGTGACGAAAGCGGAAATATAGTGAAGTTTCACAAAAACAATGAAATAAAAAGACATTTATACATAACCTAAGTTTCTTTGATTTTTAACACCTACAACCTGCCGCAAATGGGATTCTATTTTCTTTAAAAAAAAAGGTTTAAAGAACCTGTTTTCTAATGGACAGGGATTTTTATTGCCCGTTCCAATGAGTTTAATGGAAACATGTCCTCCCTTCAGGTCATAGAAACATGAATTCCACATAATTTCCATAATTTTTTTAAGAATATGGGGTTTACTTTTTATGAGAAAGCAGTAAAGGAAAAATGATATTTTAAATGTTTAAGAACAATGTAATTAGAGATTGAAAACCATACCAAAATCAGGAAAAATGTTTGGAGTGCAGTCAATAGAGTGGTAGTGCCCATGAAAGGATAAGCCCATAGAGGATAGAATTCGCATTTGCTCGCTTAAAAAGATGCATAAGAGGAATATTCTCTAGAGAAATATTATGATATTGAAAATATATGTAAAAAATCATCTCAATTGGTATGAAATCTAAGTTTTCGATGGGTTTTCTACATTACAGCAGAATTTCGAAAATTCACAAATTATTTACTTATATTAATTATTGACTTATACTAAACTAAAAAGGCAAAGTCATATTAAACATTTTTTTTTCAAAATTATTCATTTGACATCTCGTGGGAACCCGTATTATTTACAATGAAATTTGACAAAGTATATCACAGGAAATGTAGAGATGGATATGCTTGTTTTGAATGACTTAATCTTCTTAATTTTACCTAGAATAATAAAGTATTCCGAAAGATGATTCTTTTAATGTTGCTAGTCATATCTCCGAGATTAGACATTGAGTAAAGTGTAAAAATTCTTTTATTTCCATACATTTTTGTTATGGAATTTAGAACTAATCGTCGTAGACGAGAGGCCTAACTGATAGCACTATTTCACATCGATATCTAAATCGATTCGGAATTATAGATTACACCAGAATTTGAATGTCATTAAAATAATACTTGTCAACAGCAACATGATGATTAACGTTAAGCCCAAAACTTTTATGAACTCACTGACCGATAAGTATTTCCCACATGAGGAGTGGAAGTAATGGATACTATACCAACAAATATTCATAAATAGAAACAAAAAAATTAGTGGTAAGCAAATTTTTTTTCCGCAGTGCGTCCTTCTTTTGTTTATTTCTTACAGAAAAAATTGACATCAATTTATCCGATCTACCTCCCTCCCCCCATCCCATGCCTTGTCTTAGCTACTAATGTTGCCCTTCTAATGATTTATGTCATCCGGGGAAAGCATGTAAATGTTTTAGCGTAGCCGTGGCGGTATGGGTCTAGTCAATAGTTTATGCGTTTTGTCTCTGCAGCCTAAAAGGATAAACATCTTTATTGGCGTCACCATTGTGGCTGGTGTTTTGTTTTTCTTTCCTAGCGAAATAAACAGCAAAAAACAAAGCCTCTCTCTGTAGCTATTGTTCTCCCATGCTTCTCTGCCTCCGCGTGTATATACCTTCCTCATTCATAGCGATTCTGGCTCAACGGGGGTTCGACAGATTTCCCAGCTTCAATGTATTTAGCACTTGACCTAAATTACTTCATTTTTACATTACAATAATGAAATGTCGTCAGCCAGCCACTGACTGCTTCCAACCAATCGACCATATAGGCCGGACAAACAACACCAGCAGAACGTTGTAAAGAAAAAAACAGTACGAAAGATTTACCACAAGAAAAAAGATTGTGGCGGGAGGGGGTGAAATTATACAAAATTAAGAAGCCGCTAAACAACAAAAAATGAATCGGAGAAAAAAGCTTGATTTTATTACAACAATGCAATACTGGCTTCTAGGTCTAGATTATGTTCACAGCACTAGGGAATGACTGTTAATAATGTCAAATTGTTTGGTTAAACAAAACACCAACTAATCAAGTACAATGATTCTTTTAGAAGTCAGGACTTGGATATCGGCGAATTTTCCCAAATTAATTCAGAAATGAAGAACAGCTAAACATCTTTTTTACTGATTTATTTCAGTTTCATTTGGTAATCACTTTAGGGCCATTAATTTAATTTTCTTATCATCTAACGCATTTAAATAGGCATATCAAACAAGCCGAAAGCAAACAAACAAATAGCAAATAATGTGTGAAATGAATAAACTTGTGGCTTAAAGCCTACGGAGATGTGAGGCAGTACTTTTTATTTTATATTAACGAAGCCTTGGAGCACTTGTCTGCTTTGCTATCAAGAACACCACAGCAACTTTCAAAACCAGAAGACCATTCAAAACGTTTTTTTTTTTTTCTCTTTCAAAATTAAGAACATCAGCTCCTTCAAGTCTCAAGGTGCTTGCAATTCTATGCATCTATACGTTGAAAGAGCAGGCCGTGAAAAAAAAGATTATACAATTTGGTTACAGTATTAGAGTCCTCATTATGGAGTTGGAGTTGGTTTGTTGATATTTTGCTAAAGAAAGTGTTGTGTGTGAGCTAAAAAAATGGACCCCTAGAATCTATGGGAATGGCACAGTAGTTCAGTTTTTGTTCCAATATGATGGCCATAAAAATCTCAATTTGCAAACAAGCATAGAAAACAAAATAAAGAAAAAAATACAAAAATGTGTTCACACACAAATTTTAGTAAACAGCCCAACAGCCAATTTGCAGCATCTAAATGTTAATCTGAAACAGCCAAGTGCCTACGAATGTGGGGAATATTGATTTTTTTTCTCGCACCCATTACTGGCGACAGACAAATTCAAAGATTTATCTTTAATTCTGCCAAATCCACACCAGAGAAGTGAGTCACTTCGCAATTTTTTGCTGAGTTTCGACTATTATGATTTATGCTGGTGCTTTGATGTCTCGCAATGATAAGTAGCAAATATTGCTACAAACTAACGCTGTTCTCGATGATAAAAATGATTAGGTTTTTCGCCAAAATTCTTAACGCCCACAAGACTCATGATGATCATAATGTTAACGGAGTAGTTCTCAACAGAAAGGAACAGGAACCTCCTGAATTGAAAAAAAAGCTGCAATAGATATTTATGGATATGGTTATTATTGCATTAATAAAATGGGAGATATTCAGTCAAAGACATCACGAAAAAAATCACTGGCCCCCAAAATTTCTTAATGGGAACAATTTTCCAGCGGTTTGGTGGCATATCAAAGTTTTAATATTATCAAAACTGTAAAAAGTGAATTCAAGGGCTATTCTAGTTCATCTTTTTGGCTTTGTGGACTAACAACTAGCCAGTGGTGTTCTCATTGGCAGTCAATATGAGGCGGTAAATTGGCAAATCTTTTTTATGGTTAATGTAAAAGGAACACCCTTTATTTCTTGCATCTGTTTGCTCTCTTGTACAATGCTATTAAAATATTATTGTATCTAATTGAGGAAGAGTTCTCTTTTTTCCCTATTCGCCATACCATAACAATGGGCGCAAATGTCTCAACATCCATGGTGTGGGCGAAAAAACAAATCAAATTACTTGGCAAATATTTACAATTACTTTGAGTTGGAAACGAACAACAAACATAGGGAACGGATAGTTTCAATATGCTTGCATTCGACGTATTCGAAACAATAGGTTGAAGAATACATCATTTTTCTTATTCAAATATACCAATACCTTCTGAGGACCAAGGATGCAAAAAAAAAGAAAAGTGAAAAAACCCATATTTTTTAAACGTATTTCCATTAATTGCAATCATAAAAACAAGACAATTGTCATAAAATCAATATTAATACTCTGTTGAATAATTGTTGATATTTACCGATACATGATTGATCTGTGCCGCTGCTGCTTGCGTTCGCTTTAATCCTTTGCGATAACTTTGTTCAGTTTTCTTGGCTTTTAAGATGTTGGAGGTAATTATTTTTTTTTTTACTTCTTCAGCTGTTATCCTTTTTTCTATTTCGCTAATGTATTGGTTAAGTCGCTTTTTTAACACAGTAAAATTCTATATATACATATATATTCATCTATGAAAGGTCAAAGGGGTCAGCCAATCGACACAAAAGTAAAATACTTAGGTGTTCAATTGTCGTCAAATCAAAGAAACCAACAACACTTTTAATTGCATTGATTGATTTTTTATTTGCGGAAATATGAATGCCGTTACACACGGTTTGTCATTTTCTTTTTCTATTATAATTTTAGGTTCTTTCTTTTAAGCAAAGGCAACAACGGTTGGGGTGACAGGGACGACGTACAGCTACGAGGATGACATCGAAACACTGCCAATGTTAATATCTTTCACCTACAATACATTTTTCTTCTTTTTCGTAGTCGTCTTCTATGCTTTTTTACATGCACTAGACACAAAAGCAAACTACTGCCCTCCTACCAAATTACAAACATTTTGTTTGTGCCTAGGTTTGTGTGCTCCTCAACTTATACAATATATGGCATAATCTCTTAAAAGAAATCACAGCCTAAAAGTAGGCAAAAAACGTACACAATGATTAGAAATATAAATAAAGGGATGAAACACAAAAACTGCAGAGGGCAGAGTTTCTGTGAATGTAACGTAGATGCTATTTAATATGAAACCGGCTAAATTAAGCCCCCCTCCTATAGAAAAATAAAAAATTGTATTTAAGAATTCTTGGATAATAGAATATTCATTCGGGGATAAATTGTCATATTCTTTAGTTTTTCATAAATTTTCTTTGAAGACCCATATCGGCCGATCAAGACTAGATAATTATCAATTTAAATGTCAAAATGCATTATTGAAATCACAGTACGAAGCAGCTGCAATTGGGAAACAAATTTGGAAGTTTTTGTATGATTTGGAACGGCTAGTTGAACACCTTGCTGTGCCAAGTATAAGTCTGTCTTTAAGTCTTAATATTTTAATTAAAGATTAAATAAACATCACAAAATTAATAAACATAACAAAATATATATAAAAAAACAATATTTTGAAATTAAAAATTACCTTTGCTTATATCCATTATAGCCATAGGGTGGATAATAGGAAACGTTTCGAACATTTTGACCATACATGATGGCTAAAACTTAAAATTAGGTGAAAACTGAAAAATTAAAAAAAGAAAAGAAGTCCCATTAAACAAAAAAGAAAAAAATGTAAACTAAAATTTCAAAATTAAGACAGCGTGTGGCTGGTACATGTGCGATTCCCAACTAATTCTTTTCCCATAAAATGTAGACTAAAATTTCAAAATTAAATTAATTGCGTGACTTTAAAGATGCATTTTAATAAGCTTTTCAGAAATCAAGAATTTAATAAAAAAAAACCTATATATACATGTTTTATGAGGTATTTTCTTTAGGCGAAACGTAATTCTTCCATGGAAAATTCTAAATAAGTTTACGGCAATTCAAATATTGGTGTCCAGTTAGTGTTTCAAAGTCAAACTGCTGAAATTAGACATATTTCAACATTTATGCATAATGCGTGCAATAAAACAAGACAAAGTAATAACTTTAAAAATAATAAAAAAATATTGAATATGTTCGTATAAAAAACAAAACGAAAAACCTATACCGTAAAGAGGGAAGAAATCCCAGCATTTAATACATTTGAAAACATGTGGCAACTTTTCCCTATTGATCTTGAGAGAGTAACCGGCTTAGGTAAGAAAAAAAATAAAAAAAAAACTTATGCTCTCACAAAAAATTAACATTTCAATTAATTATGCCGAATCTTTGTAAACAAATTTTATTGGCGAGTCAATATAAATTGTTTTTGAATGGGGAGCAAAAACAATGTACAGCATGGAGCACACAAACACAACAATCTTTTTTTATACAGACGATGAAAATGTGTAAGGTGTGCTTGTATGTGTGCATGTGTCTTTAGCGTCATTTCATTTTGTAGGAATATGGAATCTGCAAATTCATTCAAGATTCCAAAAATGTTCATTCATTTGCTAAACTGTCTAGGCTCTAAAAGATTCTTTATTTCATTTATACACAATTCCACATTGATTTCATGCACTCTTTGGCCACCCTCAACTATTTCCCAGTAGCAACACACACGCGCCACTACCACCACCACCATCACCATAAAATAGACACTGCAAATATATTTTCCCTTCTGGCGAAGACTTCCAAAATGAAAATTGTTTGCATCGAACACCCCCATTTTATTTTTCACAAAATACACACCAACACCAAGTTGCAATAGTTTATTGTAATTTTTTTAAGAATTAATGTACACTTTTTTACGAGAGCGGACGAACGAGCTCTGGCCTCTTTGTGGTCTTAATAAAGCCTCGGTTAGATTAAATTTCCGATGGATTTGCAAATATAAATATGTTTGTTACTTCGCGCCGTGTAATTTGCTAGCTATTTTCTTAACAAAAGATAAATTCTAGTCCGTCGCTCACGTCCACTTCACAATTCTGTGTGAAATAGGGACATGTAGGTAGCAAAAAAAATCCAAAAGATTTATCGAACATATCGATAATTTCATGAATCATATTTAAAGTACACTACACACTAGCGAACATTAATGACAGCAGTTGCGCCCCAGAAATCACCTTAGCAAATACTATGCTGTTTTTGTTTAACAGTCCGCAACGTACAACGATTATAAAAGTGGGTAGAAGTATCAAGGTAGCATTGTTCAATCATATGATTATGACGTTCTTATTATTAGGTTGTCGGAAACTCTTGCTCTGTTCCAGAACCTGCAAGAATCTCCTTGTTTTGCATTTTTTTCGATATCATAAAGAAAAATCGGTTATCGTAGTAAAAAGTTTTACATTTGGAACATGGTACAATAAGGAGGTAAAACAGCTTCGTAAAACTACAAAAATACAGCCCTGATGTTATGCCCGCTTCCTGTCAGACTCATTCAAAATTATTTTCATTTTTTTCTTATATTTTTCCTCATTTTTAAAATGAGTTAAATACCGCGAAAATGAACTTAATGTCTGGATTTTTCTCTCAAAAAAAAAAAAAAAAAAAAAATGATCCTAACTGTTCAATCTTTCAATTTCATGGCTATACTTGTTAATAGCTTTAATACACGAGCCGCAATTCATGTGTCTTCCAATCATTGATTTTTGAAAATATTTTTTCTCGTTTTTCAAAAAATTAATCCATACACAAAATTGGCAGAAGTCGGGCACACTTAGGAAAAAATTGAATAGGAATCGCTCTAACTTACCTTTTTATTGTACTATGATCTGGAATAGAGCAAATTTTTCGTGCTCGATTTGAATCAAGTTCAAAACACGTTCGATATTTATTTAGCCCATTAATGGTACATTTGCATCTACAGCATCATGTTAGAACTAAGAAGGTAAAGTCATGTAATCATATGTTTACAATCTTTTTCTCATTGCCAACATCTATATTCATAATTCCATTGTATACACACAAAATCAGAGATGGAAACTGTTTTTTATGCATTGAAATTGAAAATGCAGAGCTGGGAATGCTAATTTGAAATGAGGTTACCTTTATTTCATTGTACAATGAGGGAAAATCGGTTATCGTAGTAAAAACTTTTACATTCTTGCAGATCTGTAACAGAGCCTATAACTCCAGTGCATATTCACATATCAGAGATGGAAACTTTTCTTCTATGCAGTGAAAATTGACAGGGTAAATTACAGAAAATGCTGAAATTGTTAGGGCTATTTGAAATGGCTATATTTTTTTTTCGAAATTATTCACTTGACAACATCTCATTGGAAACATGTATATTTATGACTCCATTGTATATTCATAAATCAGAGATGGGAACCTGTTTTCTAGGCAATGAAAACTGACAATAACTACGACTATACAAAGCATAATCCTTTAATTTAGGAATACATTTTATTCTGAAATGAGGAAAGAAGCATCGTTTTTAATTTTTATAGTTAATATTATTGACAATTTGCCATTATTGGAAATACATTTGATACTACTGTTGCTAACAACATTACGTCAGCACTTGCAGTTACTTTGTACTAATTACGCCATGATTTGGTTTATAAAGAATTTTAGATGACGTACATAATTTCAAATTTGAACAATGTCAACATTGAAAAATAAACAATTTATTCTTTTGTGTGTTGAACATAGAAATGAATAATACAAAAAAATGTTTATGTTTCTAATCGGAAAATATAACAATTGGTTAATTCTAAAAATAATCAGCTTTTACAACATTATTATTTGAGAGATTTTGTGATATGACGTGTATTTCACCACAGTGGGGAAGATATAAAAAATGTGTCTGCTACGTCAAGTTTTAGAGAACGCTGTAAAGAACAAGAATTGGATCCTTCCTACAAAGGTATATTCAATAAGCTCACCCAGTAGAGGAATTCAGATCTGAAGGTAGAGCTACTGAGATATACATATATTAAACAATAACATTTTTAGTTTTCAAATTTCCATCTTACACATGTACATTGATTAAAGATCATTGATACTGCCTGGGCTTCAGTCCAATATTTACACCATTCTTGGAACGCAAAACTATTTTCATCGAAACTTGGACTTCTTCGCCTAGTGGCAGCAATTCAAAGTTTCTCAGAATCTTTATCAGTATTGTGCGCATTTCATATAGGGCGAATCGTTGTCCTATGCAATTCCTTGGTCCCGCACTGAATGGTATGTTACTGTAGCCAGTCGCTTTGGTATTGCCCTCATTTTGATGGCGATCGGGCTTGAAGGATAATGGATCAACGAAGTTGTCAGGGTCCCTCAGAATTTCCCAAAGCAAAATGACAACGTTAGCGCGGCGAGGTATGGTGCAGTCGTCTGAAAAATAGAATGCCACAAATTGGGGTTTTTATCAAATTGAAGTTTTAAGTAAAACAGGAACACAGTAAAGATGCTGGCCATGGCTTGCTTGCTAATTGGTTAAACAAGTCAAATGGCTTCGATACATTACAATCATGGTACAATAAGGAGATAGAACAGCTTCGTAAAACTATAGATATAAAGCCCTGAGGCTATACCCGCTTTCTGTCAGAAATATTCAAAATCTTATGCAACAAGCTGTTTTCATTCGCATTGTGTTTTTTTTTTTCGTCATTTTTAAAATTATTTTAAAAAAGTGCCAAAGTTAAATGCAATGTTTGCCTCGTTTTTTCAAAACTATGCTCCAAACAGTTCAATCTTTCAATTCAATGGCTAAACTAGTTAAATATCATTAATTCGCGCTCCGCACTATCATTGATTTCGAAAATATTGCGTTTTTGTTTTTCAAAACAATAAATACACACACACAAAATACGCAAACAAAGTCGGACACACTTTGTAAAATTGTAATCAGCTAGTAGCTCCACCTTACCTTTTTATTGTACCATGATTACAACACAAGCTCATGCTGCAACACAGGTCAACGGTCCGTGTTGGTGTCATTGTTGATGACTTTTTTTGTTTTGTTTGATGCGGAACCCAGAACAAAGGGGAAAGGTTAATTCTGTCCGGTGCCCATGACGTTCCCCAACTTGATCCACTAAAGGGGACTTAAGTCTAAAACTGCACCAAACGATAAACAATGTAGCAACGCCCCAACCATTTACTCTCTTTTTTTTCTTATTCTTACCCAGCTTCAACTCCCTGTCCAGGCAACGGCCAACAGCCGGTATTGGTGGAAATAGACGCAGCGACTCTTTTATAACGCAATTCAAATAATTCATTTTTTGCAAGTCCGCGTAGCTGATTCGCCGAATCAAATCATCACCGAAATTCGATCGGATCTCTTCAAAAACTTTGTCCTGAATTTCTGGGTGACGCGATAGTGCATAGAGGCAAAATGATATGGCCGATGTGGTGGTGTCATGGCCTTCGAACATGAAAGTGTTGACCTCATCGTGAATTTGCTTATCGAGCAGGGGCTGTCCATCAACCCGGGCCTGTAGCAGAACATCTAGAAATGCTAGACGCTTCTTTGCACCAACACCATCACCGTCAAACTCCATCTCGTCTGTCCTGTACCTTGCATCGGCATGCAGAAGCGATTGCTTGCGCTCCTCGATAATTCTCTCAGTAAAGGCATGCATAACATTGATGCCCTGCTTCAGTTTCATGTGCGTATTCCATGCCAGGAGCTGGAAGGATAGATGGGGGCGTACAAAGCGATTCGCCATTATATCTGTAACTCTGACAACAATTCGAACAATTATTTAGTGATGATGCAAACCATTCTGCCACAACACTCACTCATTGACGGCTTGGATTAAGTCTGACTTCAAATCCGACTGGGCATTGATGACAACTCCCATTGCGGTCTCTGCAATCAAATTTTGGTTAGAAGCAAGTCAAAGAATTACAGACAAGTTGGACAGCAGTACCAGCAATTATATCCAAAGTTAGGAGTCCCACTGGTTCGTAAATATTGACAGGAGTGATTCCATCGGCCTTCGATTTCAGTTTGGCAATCAGGGCGTCACTTTGTCGATCAAATACCTCTACAAACCCCTCCAGTATTTTGAAGTGGAACGTGGGTGTGATGATTTTTCGCATTGTCTGCCACGATTTTCCGCTGCTCAGCAAGAGTCCATTGCCCAGCCAACTGGTGAGCATTTTGTATACAAAGTTCTTGCTTAAATTCTCGTTGCTGGCTAGCAATGCGTCCACAATTCGATGATCCGTGGTAACCACAAAGACCATGCCAAGCAGAAAGGACCCGAATGTCTTGCCGTATCTGAGTATGAATTCATGCCACTTCCTGTCGTAGTCTAGCAAACAAACAATGGAGGTGATTTATTGATTAGAAGCTTCTTTGAATTCTGGCCGATCTTACTGTCGGGATTTAACTGAAAGAGCACCGCAATCGTTCCAATAAAGGGTATGTGGGAAACCAAGGGAATATTTCCCAAGGTGGCGATGACTTTCTGGCGTCTAGAGTAGTCTGCCACCAGGAGGATTGCAAACACGGCTAAAAGTATTGGCCATAGCATTTTTACGAAGGTGCACTGCCTAAAGGAAACACCCAAGGTAGGAAAATATTCAACCAAAGATTAGATCATAGTTACCGTCCTTAGATTAGATACAGAGGCTAATCTATAACACGGTGTTCCCGACCCCTGACTACTTCTCTCGGGAAAATAGTTAAAAAACAACAAGTTTTCCGTTACTTCGTCCACCACACCATTTAAGTGCATTCGTGCCGACAACCTGATTGCGTTCAATATCGATTTCGAACAAAACGAAAATACGTCACAGATGCCTTGCGTTTTGTTGTTTTCTTATCTGCGAAATCGGGTTCTTTGATGCCAATGTGAGGAAAAGAAAATGCAGGGAACTTTGTAGTTCTTTACGAAAAGCTTTCGAGCTTTCAGACACACGGCTTTTCCAATGACGAATGATGGAGGTTTCTACGAAACTTAAGTATAACAGTTCCCCACGAATGTCAAACGACTACTGGCAGTGTCCGAAGAGAGAAAGGCGTTCAAATAGCCGACAAAAAATGCAACAATCGGCAGTTTTAAAATTGGCACACACGTGCCATGCGATAAGGCAAATTGTTGTTTTTTATTTCTTCGCGGCACAGGCAATGTCCGCGAACACACCGACACACACACACACACTTCAATTCAGCTGCGAAACTATAGCTTGTCAACTATCGACCAAGTTGAACGTTGTTTTTTTTTCACTCATTTACAAACAAGAGATATCCTCGGCGTCGTTGGCTTCCTTAATTTTTTTTTTTGGGCTGTGTCACAGGGCATTTACAACGATTGATCGTCTGAATTTCTGTTACATTTTTGCAACAAATTTATTATTCTTTCTTTCATTTACTGTTCGGCGTGGAAAAAAAAAACTAAAACAAAATGCATTGTCGACTTAATACTGTCTGGGCTTCAATCCAATGTGGTTTCCATTGGCCGAGCGCAAAATTAAATTCATCATCGGTCTGACGTCGGGTCCCAAGGGCAGTAGTTCGTAGTGGCGCAACATTTTGCTTATGGTGCTCTTCATTTCCAAAACAGCAAACTTCTGGCCAATGCAGTTACGAGGACCCGCCGAAAATGGAATATAAGCATAGGGATCGATGTTGGCCCCGTTCTCCACAAGGAAACGTTCCGGCTTAAAGGAGTCCGGATCGGGGAAATATTTGGGATTGCGGAGGCACACGAAAAAGCCCATTGTGAAATTGGTACCAGCCGGAATTTTCTTGCCACCTGCAAAAAAACAAGAGAGGTCTATTGTTTTCCATATTCCACGATAGGATATTCGTGTACTTACGAATTTCAACGTCTTCGGTGAAATATCGACCAATCATAGGTACTGGTGGATAAAGACGCAATGACTCCTTTATAACACACTCCAGGTATTTCAATTCACCCAAATCCCTCAGCGACACTGGACGCTCTTTGTCGGTGCCCAGCACTTCTACGATCTCCTCCATTAATTTCTTTTGGACGTCGGGATGTCTGGCAATGAGGTAGAGGGCGAATGATATGCCACTGGTGGTGGTGTCGTGGCCCTCAAACATGAATGTATCCACCTCTTCGCGGATGTCTTCATTGCTCAGGGGAGCCCCATTGATGGTTGACTGCAATAGCACATCCAACAAGGCCATGCGCTTCTTCTGTCCGAGGTCATCCTCTTCGAGGGATCGATTTTGGTCAATGGTCTTTTGCAGTGACTCCCTTCGCTCCATAATTATGTTCTCGGTAAATTGGTGCATCAATCGGATGCTCTCGTTCAATCGCTTGTATTCTGTGGGCGCCGTCAGACGGAATATCCAATCGATTCGATGCCAAACGTTGATGAAGCGCTTGGTGGTAATGTTGGTGACGCTGTAAGAATGGCAATGTAAAGAGTTCGCCAGGAACAATGCTAGTGTCGGAATACTGATGCGTATGAGTAATATCTATTTGGCCATTCGTTTATCATACGCACTGCAATAAAGATGGGATTGGCCATGAAGCGAGTGTGCGCTAAATTTACCCCCTCCCCTCCCGATTTTGTTGTGTGTGGACACAATTGCAGTATGCATTTGCAACAACACTTGAGTTGTCTGATTAAATATACCCAACAAACATTGATACATACATACGTACGTGCACGGTACATACATATGTGTGAAGCTATGTGATATAGTTGTGAAAAGAACGGTTTCAAGTCCTACAATTCAAGACTTATCCTTTCCCAAAGTTCCCTCAATTATCCCCCATCTTTTTTAGATTTCAGACAAATTGGAATCCTGCGTACAGGTTATTTTAAGGTTTACTTACGTAAATACGGCCTGGACATACGGAAAATTGGGATTATTTTGAGCATTGATTTTGACGCCCATAGCAGTTTCTACAACAACAAAATATCAGAAAATAGACGTGAGCTCCATTGTGATGCACTGGTCGGGAACTTACCTGCAATAATATCCAGAGCCATTGAACAAATAACTGGGAAGATATTAATTGCTGACTTCCCATCGGCCTTATCGCTCAATTTTTTAACCATTACCCCACTCTGCTGATCGAATATTTCCACAAATTGCTCCAGGATTTTAAAATGGAATGTTGGAGTGATTATCTTACGACGCGAATGCCATTTCTTGCCTGAAATGAAGAGGAAGACACTCCATCAGAACACGGTTCGGATATGCGGAAATCCCTTGGCCTACCTGTGCTCATCAGCAGACCAGTGCCCAGCCACTGATGCAACAACTCGTACAAGTTGTTTTTGGTTATGTGCTGGGGCGAACTGAGAATGACCTCCAGATCACGAGGATCCGACGAGAAAACAGCCAACTGTTGTAGTATCCATACGCGGTACATGTCGCCATACTTTTTGCTGTTGTTGGTAATGAATGTCATGATTTCTGAAAGATGTATCAATTAAACTGGATCTGATTATCTATAGCCGAGCCTACATTTCCAATGCATTTTCGTAACTGATTACAAATCACCCTACTAATCCGAAATAAGTAGGTATTTTCTGGCCACTAAAGGTCGACAAACAAGTATGAAAAGCACCTGTATAATGCCATTTCAGGGCATTTCAGGGCAATCCTTTTGTTTACTTTGCCTGCGGCTAGTTTTAATTTTATTATTTGAAGTTTACGATAAATTCTTACGTCTTCATCAACAAGTCATGGTATTTTATTGAGTCTTTCTTCTCATTGCCCATGACGAGTCTTCAACTCGCAACACTCGGCTCTGTAGTCGCTCACCCTACGCCAAGAAAAGTAAATTATCATCATCTAATAGCTTACCCCTACGGGTAATGCATGATTAGGTTTGTTTACATTACATATTAATAGGATATTTGGCTCACATTCTGATCTGAGATTTATACTCGGAGGCATTAGACTGATCTGATGTGAAAATAAGACGTTAATTACATTTTATTTCTAATATTCATTCAGTTAACTGACTATGTTTCCAGTTTCATGGCTGAATGCATCTGTAGAGATTAGATGACGTGCTTCACCGCATCTTATCAAACAAATACACTCGATGGTAATCTAACGGATTTCAGTCGACCATTGAAATGGCGCAAGGTAAAACCAGTACTGTTCTCATTCCTAAAATAGAGTTAATGTCGGACATAAAGATACGACGGCTTTTAATCAGTTCGTAGTTGTTGGCCCACATGCTTGGGTAAAAGTCCAAACCATTCGAAAAATCCGTTGGTAAAACAAAAGTCAAGAGTTTCATTGATTCAAATGCTAGAGCACGATGATCCATTCCGCCAGTCTGCAAACATTGTCGTAGTAAACTTTTTTAGTAACAATACATTTTAATTCATTTTTTGTTATGTTTATTCTATTTTTGTACAGGTAATTGTAGGAGATAGGAGATTTGCTCATCAGCGCCAAAAAAAACTGAGAATCGACCACAAGTCTTTTTAATATCTGGGGATAAAACTCATAAAGAGTTTTTAAATGCACAATTCCGCATATTGAATTTTTCTACGAGTTTGAAACGGATCCACTTCACATGCCAGCCAACCTTTACTTACGTTCGGGATTTTGGCCACGATATGAGAGAACATTCCCCACAACCGGCAAAGGTTTGGGCCCTTTCATGTAGCTCAGCATGTCATTGCGTCGCTTTTTAGATAAATAGTCCCATAACAAAAGCAACGTCACAAACACAAAAACAATTTCCAAAATCATTTTTATTCTCGATTTTATTTGCCTCTCCCGCCGACCGTCCGCCCGTCTGTCTTCATATATCGAAATCGAAATCTATACTAAATTACCAGAAACGCTCGAAGAACTTATGCATGTTGTATTCACAAAAAATAAATTGGGCAAATCTAAGAATAGAGAGTCCATTTTTTTGTTATCAAAACAGAGAACAGCAAAGTGATAATAAGAAGTGTGTATTAGGTTGCCCCGGCTTGGACAAGAATTTATGTTCGGTGATGTATGTATTATGAGTGTATCAAATATCGAAAAATGTTGGACATTGATGCCTTGAAGTGGATGATGAATTGCACATTTTGTGATCTGGCTAGTCGCCTTAAAAAGAAATTAGAAAAATGTGTACTTTTATTTCTCCCTTAAAGTGCATTTTTTAATATTTAGCTCGCCATTGCTTTAAAATATGTTTCGCTCCACTCTAAGTTCCAAAGTTGCGTGAGTTGTTTGACCTCATGCCCGCCGACTCACCTGGTAATAACAGGTTATATTACAGCATCTATGTTCATCTTTTTTTATTCTCACTGACTCTCCCTCTCTTACTCTCCCTCTCTCGATTTTCCAGAATTTATAATACACTCAACATGACTACAATCCAACGAAGATCAATGTTATCTAGACAAACAGTCTTGGCTATTTCAACACTTCGTTTGTTTTTATGCTCTCCATGAGAATAATTCCGCTGCTAATTAAATCGAGTGGTAGTGGTACATACATGAGACAGGGGATAGCTCACCGAAAAGGTTACTTCTATGCTATTTTTGGTATATTTTACAGGGAAGTTACATTTATTTATTAGCTATTTTGGCTCTCATAAAAGCATTTTGAAGTGCATTTCGGCACACGTTCCTTACATACATACATATATACATATGTATTTATGCACATACATATAAACAATAGTACATAGTTTGTTCGAAACACAACAGAGAAATGTAAAAATTTAAAAACAAATGCTTTATTGAAATGCGTTTCTTGCTCTGAGACCCATCTGAGTACCGGTCGTCGAACGTAGAATTAAACTCAGCGACGGTATTACGTCTGGCCCAATCGGGAGGAGTTCAAAGTGTCGCAATATTTTACTTATGACACTTTTCATCTCCAGCATGGCATACTTTTGCCCAATACAGTTACGTGGCCCGGCACTAAACGGAGTATAGGCAAAGGGGTAGATATCTTCGGCGTTTTCGGCAAAGAAACGCTCCGGTCTAAATTCATTGGCGTCTTGGAAATAGTCAGGATCTCGCAGAACTACAAATAGTGGAATATTGAAATGACAGTTGCCGGGAATAACAACACCATCTGAAAGGGAAAGGAAAGTGAAAGGAAAGTGGTCATTCGCGTTCATATTTTAGCCATCGGGCGGGTCCTACTCAAATCGGTATCCTCTGCAAAATATCTGCCGATGATTGGCACTGGCGGATACAGACGCATGGATTCCTTTATGACACACTCCATGTAACGCAGATCCTGCAGTTGGCGGTATGTGGGAGCAGTGTTCGCATCTGTCCCAATTACATCTGCGATCTCTTCCAGAAGTTTGCTCTGCACTTCGGGGTGACGGGATATAAGATACAGTGCAAACGACGTGCCACTGGTGGTGGTGTCATGACCCTCAAACATAAATGTCTCCACCTCCTCTCGAATGTCTTCGTTGCTAAGAGGCCTACCCTCGACCGTAGCCCGAAGTAATATGTCCAGCAATGCCATGTGCTGTTTACTTCCCTTGGTGAAGGTTTCTTCCTCATCGGATGGTGGCTGGTCCACACTAATTATGTCCTCCAGAGCTTCTCGCCGTTTCTCAATCACATTTTTGGTGAAGCTCTGCATTTCATTGATGTGCTTCATCATTCTGCGATAAATGGAGGGGGCAAAGATCTTGAAGAGGCTATCGGTGCGCCACAATGGTTTCCTCAAGCGGTCAGAGATTATTTTTGTCACACTGAAAACACACGCACACATCACCTAAATAGATGGTTTGTCCAGGAATGGTTCACCATGGCTGACTTACATTTTAACGGAATTCACATAGCCGATATCGGGATTTAGCTGGGCATCGACTTGGACCCCCATCGCGGTCTCTACAATGATGTCCAAGGCTGTTAAGCAAACGAAAGGAAACATATCCAATGGTGTATTCGGATCTCCGGCCTTCTCTCTCAATTTCTCGACCATGACATTGGTTTGACGATCAAATATCTCCACAAACTCCTCCAGGATTTTGAAATGGAAACTGGGCGTGATGATTTTACGTCGCGTGTGCCATTTCTTGCCCGTGCTCATGAGAAGACCGTCGCCCAGCCACAGGGACAACATGTCGTAGACATTGTTCTTCGTTATGTTGACGGGACTGCTCAGCAGGGTATCCAATATTTTTGGATCGGCGCAAAAAATCACCAGTTCGTGCAGTATCCAAGTGTAGAAGATTTTTCCATTTTCCCGAGAAAATTGTCGTATGCGATCGATGGAATCTAGGCGAAGGAGAAAAGATTACGTAAGTACCAGTCTGCTCTGGGGTTGACCATTGATTAGCCTACTTTCCGAAGTGGCGCCGATCATGTGCAACGCCCTGCCTACCAGGGGCAAATTGACACCTCCAGTAATTTTCGACCTTGTCAATACCTCATTGCGGTGCTTTTTGTTGAGGTAGTCCCAGATTAAAAGCAAAACAAATGCACCGATGAGAAGGGTCGCCCACATTTCTACGACTAGCTGTGGTCACTGATGCAAAAACAAATGTCTGTATGTGTGTGTGTGTGTGTGTGTTTGTGTGTGTAGCAATCTATTAATTAAAAACAAAAAAAAAACTTTTGAGGGGGAAGGGGTCGAGTTTATTTCCAGAGAACACGTCGACTTGTTATCGTCCGCAACCAAGTGCTTTGTTTGAAATCGCGACACTACTGACGGAGAACAACGCTCCATTCCACAGATAAGGAAATTCAGCTGCTGTCATGGGGAACTCAGAACAAGTTTGCAGTGAGAGCTTGAATGTTTATACGCGTTTCCCGTGTGATGCCAATCGAGAAATCGGGGAATTTTAAAATTCTCGGATTAGAGGTTGGAATTTGTGTTTTATGCCAAAATATAAATTTATGAAGGGGAAGTATTGAAAAAGGTGGTGAAGGCTTATTTTTCAATATCATATGTATTTTGGTATAAGGGGAAGAGATAGATAGATAGAGGAACTCCTTAAACTACAAATAGAGAGGTTTCATAGTTTGCGTTTTAAAGGACTAACGTTTAAGACCTTTCATGAGGCTTACAAATTTTTGAAGCTGAGGAAAAACAACTCAAAACAATTCAAATGTGTCCGCGTATTGTATATTTTCAGGCTATAAATAATCTTCAGATCTCGCCCCATCATTAGTAATGTTTGCATGTGATCAGCGGATTTAAGCTTTTGATTTCCTCCCAAATATTTTAGTGGCTCTTGAATGGGGAATTAGTAAAACCTTCAATGGTCAGAGGAATTGTGGCGATTTGTTGTGGGGACATAGAAGAGCTCAAGTTAATGTTCCATTCACGTTCCAATCTTCGACGGAATCCCTAATTCCTACTGTATCGATTGCCTCTAGCGTTTGGAGCGTGTGCATGAGAACCTGTGTGTGTTGGAAAATTGAAGGAGAGAGCGAGAGTAGAACACGAGAAGCTGTGAACCGAACAACACCGAATAGTGTCAACTGATAACTCCAACAGAGAAGAACATGCTGCTGGAGCTGACGTTGGCCATACTGGCCATTCTGATTGCTTGGGATTATCTGCACAAAAAACAAACAGACGCTTTCTTGGCAAAATCAAATATTAGTGGGCCGAAAGCGTTGCCCATCCTTGGCAATTCCTTGCGACTCAGAAACGTAAACACTGAAAGTGAGTACCGTCGTCCATCAGGACGTATCATCCCACACGAACTTATGTTGGTGTTGTGTGCGTGTATCATTTTCCAGACATAGAGGCAGTCTTGAAGGAGAACACGGCCACGTATGGCAAGATCTATCGTTTCTGGGTTTTCAATCAAATGCATTTGCGGGTAACTGATCCCAAGCTTTGCGAGGCCCTTTTGAGCAGCCAGCACCAGATAACCAAGAGCAGCTTCTATGAATTTTTGATCGACTGGTTGGGTCGTGGGCTGCTGCTGAGCAATGGCAAGAAGTGGCATACGCGCCGCAAGATTATAACACCAGCTTTTCACTTCAAGATTCTGGAACAATTCGTCGAGGTGTTCGATCAGCAAAGTACCGTTATGGCAAAGAATTTGCTCGCTCAGGCCGATGGTCAAACTGCCATTGACATGTTTCCAGTTGTGTGTCGCATGGCCCTAGACACCATATCGGGTAAGGGATTCTCCACGGTTTGGCAATGTAGCTTCTTAAGGGACTTTCGATTCATTCATTCATTTTAGAAACGGCAATGGGTGTTAAGGTTCACGCCCAAGAAAACCAGGAGTTTGAATATGTGAAAGCGTTAAATTAGTAAGTAAGGCCTGTGATATGTTCTCGTATGTGAACGAATTCCTCTTTCAGCGTATCGACGGTAATGTCCAAACGCTTTGTTAATCCATCGCAAAGAACGTCGTTCCTCTTCAAACTCACCTCGCCAAAGGTGTACAGGGAAACGCAGCGTTGCATTGGCGTCATGCACAGGTTCACAACCCAGGTAATCGAAAAGCGGAGACAAGCCTTGGAAAAGTCAATGAGGGAGGCCAGCAACAAAGGTAAATGCATTGCATGCGACTAAATCTGATACTGGGGATTAACGAAGAACTTTTGTAGCTGACCCTCCTTCCGAGGAGGAGGACGAAGACGAGTACGAGCACTATGGCCGAAAGCAACGCATGGCTTTTCTCGACATACTCTTGCAATCTACCGTTGACGGAGAACCGTTGAGCAATGAAGACATCCGCGAAGAGGTGGACACATTCATGTTTGAGGGCCACGACACCACCACTAGCGGCATATCGTTTGCCTTGTACCTCATTGCCAGGCATCCGGAAGTACAGGCTCGTCTATTCGAGGAAATTTGCCAAATCGTTGGACAAGATCCCGACAAAGTTTTGTCCTATCGGGATCTACAGGATATGAAATATCTGGAATGTGTGATCAAGGAATCGCTAAGACTTTTTCCTCCCGTACCTGCTATTGGCCGAGAAATTACAGAGGATGTCCAATTGGGTAATTACGATAGGCACATCCCTCAACACAGGTCCCCCTTCTTATCAATTCCCTCGACTTTCCCCTTGCAGGTGATGTGACTTTGCCGGCCAACACGAATGTCGTTTTGTCGTTTTCACTAATTATGCGCAATCCCGACTACTTTCCCGAGCCGGATGCATTTAGGCCGGATCGCTTCTTTGGCGATGGTGATTCCAAATCGCACGTGAACCCATTCTTGTACACACCATTCTCTGCTGGACCCCGCAACTGTATTGGCCAACGCTTCGCCATGCTGGAAATGAAATCGGTAATCACGAAAATGTTGCTCCATTTCGAGCTGCTGCCCTTGGGACCCGAGGTGCAACGGTTGACAACAATAGTCTTACGTTCGAAAACAGGAGCACACATTGGACTTCGGCCCCGTTGTGCCAAGTGAAATTCCCGTTTCGAATTCTCTCCGTTTAGAGGGTTATACGACCGCCACCGAAATCTAATCTTCACGAATGAAAGCTATTGAACATTGTTCGTTCCCCTCTACGCTCGCGAGTATCATTCATATCTTGCTTGTCATGCTGACCAGAATTTTTGTTAAACTTATCATCACCGCAGGCGTTACGCGCCAACAGCCGAATAAGCATTGCTCAGCGTTTTGCAAACAGAAACATTAATATGTACTAATAATCATTACCATGCACATTTGCAAAAAGGTGAAAGTAGAAATAAATGTTGAGACCAACAACAAAATGCGTAATTATTTATGTAGCAAGGATATGAAATAAAAAAGAAACGTTTCGGACTAGAGTTAGCATCAAGACATCAAAAGTTATTCTGCATGGAATCCTTGAGAAAGAAAGAAATGCTATAAAATTCAGAAGTTTTGCGACACATTGATCGATTTGTGTAACAAGTTGAGTGCTACCCAAAGGCCAATGGCCTACCTTTGGACTAAAATTTCGAGGAGTTACAACATCGTGGACAAAACATTCTCAGAACACTCTCTCTCTCTCTCTCTCTGTAGAGCATTTAGAGTGGGATATTTTTCGATAAAAATTATTTCTTATCTTCGGAGTTTTATTTCAAAAAAATATAAGAAAATGCCTTGGAAAATAAAAACTATTAATATTTTGTCACTAAATCGATTAACTCTGCAGGGTAATTCACCTAGCATCGAGGGATAGATGATTTACAATTCAAAGTAATTTTGAAAAATCCTAAAATATCCCTATCACGACAATTCACCGAATATAGTGTTATTTTTGTTTCCAGTGTCTTGTGAGAACCACAACGTTCTCACAAATGCGCATCGGCATGGTAGTTCTTTGGAATGACTTTCTTCGAAGCCTCTCATACGTTAGGGCCATTCACCGCATTGATGTTTGATTTGGATTTCAAATATTTTTGTTGTTATTTATTCTATTTTTGTATTGGAAAAGATAACATCCATGACACACACTATGGGGCTTGATAACGATAATCGGAAAGCCAATTTCACATTGAAACAAGTGTGACCATGGTTAGAACAGAAACATTATTCGATCGGAGAAGACATAAAACAACTGGGTCGCACTTTGATCAAAATGATAATTGAAGTGGTTGTGGGTTTGTTTACGTGCCTCCTGGTGTGGGATTACTTTTACCGGAAACCATTCGAGGATTTGTACAAGCAGTCGGGCATTAAGGGCCCCAAATATTTGCCATTCATAGGCAACGTGCTGCTGGCTTTGAAGAACGACACTTCTAGTGAGTGAAAATGATGGCCACCCGGCCACGCGGCCACCTTACACTAATGCTAACGTCCAAATTACAGATGTCTTTGAGATGCTGAATAACTTGTGCAAGGACTACGGAAAAGTTGTCAAAATATGGGTATTTGGCGATGCTGTGCTCTTCGTCCGGGATGCCAAGTTCTTTGAAAGTATTCTCAGCAGTCAGCAGGTGATCAAGAAGAACCGGCTGTATGCACTGCTGGCCAGTTGGCTGGGTGATGGTTTGCTGCTCAGCAGTGGCTCGAAGTGGCACTCGAGACGCAAGATAATAACGCCCACGTTCCATTTCAAAATTTTGGAGGAATTCGTAGAGGTCTTTGACCAGCAGAGCAGTGTACTGGTTAAGCGACTGAGGTCAAAAGCCGATGGCAAGACCGTATTGAATATGTTCCCCATAATCTGCCTCACAGCCTTGGACATCATTGCGGAGACGGCCATGGGTGTACAAATCAATGCCCAAGCAAATCCAGACTTCCCCTATGCCAAGGCATTGACAAGGTAAGCGTGAGAACGACGACAAGGGAGATTAGCGCTTTACCAATTTTCCTACTTTGCCATAGCGTTGCCGACATAATAGCTACGCGCTTTGTAAGACCCACCCAAAGCTTTGATCTGCCATTCAAACTCTTTGCCAACAAATCGTATCGCAAGATGATGAGGGACATCAAATTGATGCAGGAGTTCACGGACAAGGTTATCGTTGAGAGGAGGACACGCCTAGAGGAATCTATTAAGAATGGAACCTTCAACTCAGAAAGTATGTTGGACCAACTCAATTCTCCGCTAACAATGGACGTTGCCTTTCGAGGCCGTTGAGCACGTAGTTCACTTTTAACATTCCCCACTTTCTTTGTAGCCAACGAAATGGGTATCAAGAAGCGAATGGCTTTCTTGGATGTACTACTGCAATCCACCGTCAACAACAAGCCCCTGACCAACGAAGATATCCGAGAAGAGGTCGACACATTTATGTTCGAAGGTCACGACACAACCACCAGTGGTATCTCGCACACCCTGTACCTCTTAGCCCGCCATCCCCAAGTCCAGCAAAAGGTATTCGAGGAAATCCTAGAAGTTATAGGCAGCGATAAGGACAAACCCGTGAGTATGAGAGAACTGCAGGAACTAAAATATCTGGATGCAGTGATCAAAGAAAGTTTGCGCATGTACCCGCCGGTCCCCATGATTGGTCGTGTCACCGAGCACGAAGTGAAGCTAGGTACGGCCGGTTTCCATGTTTGTTTCTCACAAAACATAATAATAATTATCCTCCATCTGCAGATGGCAAAACCCTTCCGGCAAATGTTCAAGTGAATATCCTGATCTATGCTGCTTGCCGGGATCCCGACTACTTCCCCAATCCAGACTCATTCGAACCAGAGCGCTTCATTGGCGAAAGCAGTTCGGAAAAGTACAATCCCTTTTCCTATGTGCCCTTCTCAGCGGGGCCCCGCAACTGCATTGGTCAAAAGTTCGCCGTGTTGGAGATGAAGAGCACCATCAGTAAAATGCTACGCCATTACGAGCTGTTACCCTTGGGAGATGACGTACTACCGGTTATGAATCTAATTTTACGTTCTGCAACAGGAATAAATTTAGGCCTGAAACCACGAGAGTATTAGAACAATTAATAAAACAAAACAAAAAGGAAAAGAAACGAAATTAATGTTTTTTTTTAATTTTTAATTTGGTACAGATACCATTACCAGTATCTGGAAAATAGTTGGATTCTTATAGTTCCGAAAATGTAAACATTCACATCATCCGGTTTAGATCTCCATTGACTTGAAATTGACAACAGATCAGAATTTTCTGAAGAGCAAAAACCATATTTTTTGGCGACTCATCTTAATTTTGACCATTGCGATATTAAATGATATTTTTTGATCAAAGCACCCATTACATTTTATCTACCTTCAACTTATTTTTTTCTAATGGACCAGAGAGTCTCTGAGTGGAAAATTACCCTGAAAGTTAACCATGACTAGATAAGACACTGACCCAATTTCAGGGATTTGTTTTTTTCGGGACGCGGCATGCATGGTACAACAAAAATTCTTCTACCTTGGCATCTGAAATGAGAACACTCAACCACATGATTTCCGAACCAATTGATTTCTGCTGACAATGAACTTGTAACTCCAAGTGGAATTACTCATTATTATATCGACTCTAAAAAAAACAATAAATTAACATTTTCGGAAGCGCGGTTCTAAGGAAATCCAGTATTGAAAAACCTGTTTACCCACCGAAATGCAAAAAAACGATCCGCTATGGTGATCGAACTTTTCCTTATCTTAATCAACAAAAAACTGCCGGTAATTTTTTAGCTTCCACACGACATTGCGATTAACATAGGCTTGTGTCGGACAGCTTGTTTTCGTTCAAATCACAAATACAACAACAAACAGTGTGGATAACCCAGAGCAATGACTGCACTGCCACAGTTAATTGCTAACACGAAAGTTTTGTTGTTCTAAATAAAAATATGTTATGGTGTCAAGGTGAGAAGTGCACTTGGAAAAATATGGATGAGGTCAACAGGCTCCCAACACTTTTTCATTCAAAATCTATGGGAATCCATTGATACCCTATACTTTGTGTCCTAAGGCTTTTTAATGCAAGTGATGTCCTTTTAGTGCTGACAGCTATGGTTTCATGGCACCGACCACACCATATTAACCCATATCGTAAACACTCTTCTCAGATCTTCTGAGATTTAATCCAACATTGTTCGCAATGAAACACCCAACACTTCCACCAGTAGGGTGTTTCGTATTCGCTTCAACGAGGTCAACTTCATTGATTGAAAACATTTGTTTCATTACACTTTTGCTACGAGCGCCAATGATTTAAATGCCTGGTAGGTAATGAATTCAGTTTCCAAACATAATCGATCGCATCAAATACAATTTCGCTCAGATCGTTTTGAAATCAACATCGCAGAATGTTAACGCTCGTTGCAGTCGCCTGCCTTGCGTGCCTCCTGGTTTGGGACTATTTCCTAAAACGGCGGAGGAATCGAGTCCTTAACGAATCCGGCATACGAGGTCCTACATCGATAGTACCCGTCATTGGAGATTCCTGGGTAGCATTGGGAAACAACACTTCAAGTAAAGAATATATGCGTAAAAAATTGCAAAAGAAAAAAAAACTATTTTCATTTCATTTCGCTCATTTTAAGACGTTTTCAATTTGTTTGCGACCCTGGGTCAAAAATATGGCAAAGTCTTTCGCGTGTGGTTATTCAATGAACTGATGCTGGTAACTAAAGATGTCAAATTTTTTGAGACTATTTTGAGTAGCCAAGGATTCATTTCGAAAGCCTTTATTTACGACATGCTTTCGCCGTGGCTAGGCGACGGCCTGTTACTTAGTTCGGGCTCAAAATGGCACAGTCGACGCAAAATGTTGACCCCCACATACCATTTTAAAATACTGGAGCAATTCGTAGAGGTGTTCGATCAACAGAGTCGGGTTTTGGTTAAACGGCTATACAACGTGGCCGATGGCAAGACGGCACTTGATATGTTTCCAGTCATCTGTCTTACGGCCCTCGACATTATAACCGAAACAGCTAAGGGTGTCAAGGTCAATGCTCAAGATCATCCCGAATTCCCCTATGCCAAGTCGGTAAAAGAGTAAGTTTGAATGCCCGCATACAGATAATCATCTCATAATGAATGTTATTCAAATTCTCAAGTGCAACAAATGTGATTGCCACAAGGGCCATGAAACCGGTTCAATACTTCCAACTCGGATTTCTACTGACAGCCTTTCCCTCGTATCTGAAACTTAGGAAGAGCATACAAGTCATGCATGAATTTACGGACAAAGTAATTGCTGATAGAAAACGCAAACTGGAGTCAGGTTTCAATAGTAAAGCGGGGCCATTACCGTCCGGTGAGTGAGCTAACATTGTCAATTAAAACAAAACAAAAACCATATTGCATCCGGTTGGCGATTTCCTCAAATCATTTCATCGTGATTTTGAACAGTCATAACCTATACATGTTTCCATTTTAGCGGACATCGTGGATGATATTGGACAGAAAAAACGCATGACGTTTCTGGATGTCCTCCTGCAATCGAACATCAATGGACGTCCCTTGACGCACGAGGAAATACGTGAAGAGGTCGACACATTTATGTTCGAGGGCCATGACACCACGACCAGTGGCATATCACACTGTTTATACCTATTATCACGTCATCCGCACATACAGCAGAAAGTCCTACAGGAAATCTCCGATGTTATGGGAGAGAATGTAGAGAAGAGAATAACTATGAGAGAATTGCAAGATTTGAAGTACTTAGAGGCTGTTATCAAGGAGACTTTACGTTTATATCCTTCAGTGCCAATAATCGCACGCTATACCGACAAGGACGTGGAAGTGGGTAAGTACTTAAACCCGATCTCCTTAATTAATTATGTGTATTAAATGGGAAATGGAACTAATTGACAGATGGACAAATTATACCGGCCAAGAGCACGGTCACTCTATTGGTATATGCCCTCGCCAGAGATCCCGACATATTTCCAAATCCCGATGAATTCATTCCAGATCGCTTCTTCAGTTACCAGGCTGAGAAATACAATCCATTTGCATATACGCCATTTTCGGCCGGACCCCGCAATTGCATTGGCCAAAAGTTTGCAATTCTGGAAATGAAGACAACAATATCGATGATACTGCGACAATTTGAGCTCTTGCCCCTTGGGGCGGAAGTGGTGCCTCAGATGAATATGATTCTACGCTCGGCTACTGGCATTAACTTGGGCCTTAGGCCACGCATCAAATAATAGTCATGCAATAATAAAAATATATCATAAGATAGTAATATCTTGGAAGTTTAGTTTTTCATTAATTATTTTTTATTATATTTTAGAGGTCATCGGTCAGAAATTTACTGTACAAAATACTTTGTACATACTTTTGAGTGCGGCTGAGGCGCTGGGAAAATCTAACCATTAAAAATAAATATTTAAAAATTGTCAATTTCCCAGTGGTCATAAAATATCACATGTGTACAATTCAGTGATCTTGTGCGCTGTCGCATACGATAATGTGTAGGATAATAAAGGTCATAACCCACACACACAGATATTGATGCGCCAGTAGGTAGCCAAGATCACTTGAATGAAGGGACACGCAGCCATGTAATGTTTCCTTTTAAATCTAATAATAGATAAGAACAATTGTGTGGCTGCGACTAGGTTAAGTTAGATTAGTTTCAGTAGTACGTAAGGAACATATTTTAAAAATAAAATTAGAATTGAACCAACAGCCACACGATACGGTTGTGTTTTCTCTTCTCCCGCTAACATATGGTCAATCGAGCCTTCACTTTTTTATAAAGTGGAAATAACTAGCGGCCGTAAAAAAATTGTAGGAGTTTTCCCCCACCAGTGGTAAGAGACTCACTACAAGCAGAAATAGATATTCTCCAGAAATAGAGGAGAATTTCTACAAAAAACAAAGTCCGTTAAGGCATTTTAAATATAAGACCATAGGGGCATTTTGAAATAGCCGAAGGGACTAATTTGAAAAAAAAAAAGCCATAGGGGCAAAAATAAAGCGAAAAGAGGACAACAAAAGTCCCAAAAAAAAAAAATATATATATACATAAAAATAAATTTTGAAAAGAGGACATCAATTAGTCCAAGTTAAAACTCAAAAAGAATTCCGAAAAAAAAAAAAAAAAAAATGGATCAAGAAGCAAAATTTTTGGTCTTGGCTGACTATTTCTGCACAACATTGGCATCGGCGACTCAATTTAAAAAAATTCGTAACGTGAACAAGTATAAGATTCTTGTTGAAAACACGTATTACGTTTTACAACAAACGTTGAAAAGTTTTAAAAAGTACATTCCTCAGAGAATCCAGGAAAGTTCAGTAGCAGTGGATAAATGCCTTGTGTTAGCGCATAAATTAATGGCGACGAGAACACGAGGTTGCAAGTTGAATGGAGATACTGCACAAGCGGAAATTGAAGAATGCTTAAAACCACCAGGACCCTGGAGAATTGAACTGGAGTACTATTTCCTTAATCCGGAGGAAGTAGCAATGGAAGCTGAGGAGTGTGCAAATATTGTATTTCCCACCTTTGGGCTGACAACAGAGCAGAGGCCCTCGAAGACCACAAGTTGTGGAAAAGATGCAAAGGGTGATATTACATGCCCTTTGGATGATAAAAGAGAAGCGGAATATTGTATTGGTGATCGAGACACTCTTGAAATGGCTAGAAGATATTGGCTATTTTATCCACATGATTGCGAATGTGACTGGTGTGTTTTTGTTGCAGCTCGAAACTTTGAGGATATGAATATATTCCCGCCGGCAAGTCCTAACTCGGAGGAAAAAGTTAGAGCTCTTACCCAAAATAATGAAGAGGGAAGACTCAATACTGCATCACAATTAGCCGAATCAGCTTCCCGAATCAAAATATTAGAAGATGGCCTGAAAACCGCTAATGATGAAAAACTGGGGCTTGAAGATTTGGTGCAGTCCTTGCTAACTAAATTTGAAAGAGACATACAGGCCATTGAAGAAAAAGCTCAAAAGCAACGGCGTGACCTGGAAAACCAAGTCCAAGATCTGGAAGCTAAGCTGGAACATCAAAAGAAAAAATTGGAAGCCATCGTAGAAAAACTCGACACATCAGAGGAAGTCAGCAGTGACAAAATGGACAAGCATGTACAAAAAGTGTCCTTGGACAATATGAATTTGAGAAGCCACAGGGAACAGAACCACCAACAAGAGAAGAGCAAAAAAAGAAATCCGGTGTATATTGGTACTTCTCTAAAAGACACGTTTGGCAAAGATAACGATAAATGCATCGAGGAAGCGGAGAAAAAAGAGCGCGACAAGGTAAAGAGGAATAGAATTAATAACAAACACCGGGAATCCTCATTGAAGCAACCGCGTATAAAATACATCAGCAATGACCTAACCTTGGATGCCCTACGAAAAAATGACTCCTTGGATGATCGCAGCCAGCAACTACCAAATCACAAGTCGCCAAAGAATTATAAAGCTTGGAAGTTAAAACCGGCAGATAAGGGTGGTGGTATTGGCGAGCGAGGCTGGATAGATAAGTGGAGCCGTTTCCTGCAAGCGGTTACCTAGGATAATTTATATAATATAATCATTTTCAAAGCTATATGTCTAAATATTTTTTATATAATCCTCTTCATGATCCATTTTTAAATACAGTCCACTAAAAATATACACATTTAAGCCGCCCGGGAGAATGTACAAAATACTTTGTACATACTTTTGAGTGCGGCTGAGGCGCTGGGAAAATCTAACCATTAAAAATAAATATTTAAAAATTGTCAATTTCCCAGTGGTCATAAAATATCACATGTGTACAATTCAGTGATCTTGTGCGCTGTCGCATACGATAATGTGTAGGATAATAAAGGTCATAACCCACACACACAGATATTGATGCGCCAGTAGGTAGCCAAGATCACTTGAATGAAGGGACACGCAGCCATGTAATGTTTCCTTTTAAATCTAATAATAGATAAGAACAATTGTGTGGCTGCGACTAGGTTAAGTTAGATTAGTTTCAGTAGTACGTAAGGAACATATTTTAAAAATAAAATTAGAATTGAATCAACAGCCAGACCATTCGGTCGTGTTTTCTCTTCTCCCGCTGACATTTACCAAAAACCATAATTGCTTGTACTTGATATCATCACTAAAGCCCTTTCTAACTAGATATAGAGCGAAAACTATAAAATAAATTAGATTTTACTGGCATCACGAGCTCTACACCGGCTTGTCCCAGTACTTAAAAAATACAAATAACATGGGACAGTCATGGCGATAACTTGAAACCTTGTTTACCTTGCATATTTTCCGTACGGCACAAATCAATTGAATTGGTAGTCTTTGCAATTCATATAAGCTCTCAATTACTAATTGGTAGTACTTAACAATAATATTACACTTTATAGCTAATATGGTGCAAATTGGCGTTTATTTTATCGGAACAAACTTTCTATATTCACAAAACATTCATAGAACCTTTTGAGTATAACTATAGAAGCTGGTAACAGTCGTAACCATGTTAATAGGTACGCAATTAAAAAAAAAGAATTCATTATCCCGTATTTTATGAAATAAATGAAATGGAATTAAAAATTTAGGGGAATATAGTAAAAAACCCGTATTGTAACAATTTACTTGCACATGAGGAGTAGGAGCTGACAAAGTTGTTCTCAGATGCTGCAGTTGTTCTCACTTTACGGCTTGCAGAAATTTGTTATCACAAATACAAAATTCAAATTCATATGACAACAAAAATTTTATCAATGAAAGACAACTGCATTGCGGCCTTGCTGCGCAACCTTGGAGCTACAGTGTGGCGTTGGGTATTTCTTGTTTTATATACACATATACAATATTCTCACAGGATCGCCTTCCGGCACTTCTACTTAAATGCTAACAAATGCGTGCGATTTACATTTTGAAGGCCTGCAAATTAAAAAAAATAAGGCGTTTTTACAATTTCGTTCTTGTTTTGTGGTCGGCCACTACACTTTGTAGCGCACCATTCGCATTCGAGAGTTAAATTATCAGAATCAATTTAGAATTTCTACGGTCGCCTCTTAATCTTCGGTGTAAAAAGCTTTGGAAAATGTTGCTTTGCATTTTGTGTGCCCTGGTATTCATATTAACGCATATTTTTTTGTTTTAGCTCCTAAGAAAACTAGCATTTTACTGAGTACTATAACTAATTGACCACGGATACTATCGAAATGAATTATGTTAAAGTTGAGTTAATTGGGAAATACCCGGTTATTCGAACGGAAAGTTCGGATACAAAATGGAAAAAATTACTTTGCCTTAATCAGGTTAAAAATTCCTACCATTTACAAAAAAATGATCCGAGCATAGCCCTTAAACTCAACTTGCTCCGAAATTTTAAATTTACGTCCTCTTTAGGTATGTCGACACTTTCGGCCGGACTAAATTTTCTCGTTACTTCCCTTAAAATTGTTATTAAACAAGGAGTAGGATACTTAATTTTCTATAATTGACCAGAAATAATATTTTTGGTTGTTTATTGGAACCACTCAATGCCCATTTTTATACAAGTAAATAGAATTATATTTGTTAAATACCATAGTCATGGGCCATGTATAGTTTTGGAGTTTTGGTAGTCACATCTATTACTTTCCAATAAACTGTGATCACAATATTTTATTTCGTTTATCTAAATTAATCCCATTTATAAAATTGTCCTGGCGTTGGCAAACGACTGGCGGCTGCCGGTTTAGCATCGCCAGCAATCTTTAGCTGTTCCTTTACCAAATCAACTGGTGGCGCTACAAGGCGACGTGGATCTCTTCCGTGATAGTAACAATCAGACCTCAGTACAGGGTAAGGGATTTCTGGTGGTGGTTGGGTGCGATCAGCCAGACCATCTTCAAAGCGAAGCGCTACTGTGTGTTCCCGCTGCAAAAAAAAGCAGGTGTTATCATCCTGGATCTTACATAACCAAAACGCAGCATCTACATAAAGTTCCATTTAAACTTACACCCAAAAGAAAGGCCCTTAAACGTTGCAGGAAGGGAGCAATGTCACGACGTGCAGCCATGATTATATATCGCTAAATATGTGGAAACAAATCAACTAATTGCAAATAGGACAAATTGTATAAACTGAGAAAATACCGTCAACCACACCGATGCCAGTAACTCACTGAATTTCACCGCCGTAAGAACCACAGACCAAAACGGAAACGCGTGATAAATATGAAAATCAAAACAAAAAATCGAAATGGTAAAGAAACCAGCTGATATGTTCACTACATGAGCGAAGGGATTAGATGCAAAAACAACGGTTCTCTGAAACACAAAATAAGAACATCTCGGTCGTCGAAATAATCTTAACTGGTTCACCTTTCTTATTGGGTAAATTTCCAGTACCTCTTTTTAAGCAAGTTGATTCTTGGACTACTGTGTATAACGCTATTTACTCGCCTTCAAATGTAGACAATTTTAGTAATCTTATTTTATTTCCCCTCGGCATCAAAACACAGCTAAAGTCTTCTTCCATCCTTGTGTTTCGACTTTAAGGTCATTTGCATTGTACTATTTAGTAGAAGAGCGACATCTAGTGAAAACTGTACAGATTATTACATTTGAATAAATATCTAAAATACAACTCTGATTTAAGCGAAATTGTTGTTTTGAAAGTAGAGTGTTAGATCCCTAACACCTTTTGGTATCAGCTGGTAACCTTTTCTTCCAATCACCCTTCTTCGTTGGCTATCAATTCATTTAGATTTTCACTGATTTCATTCGAGGCCAAGGCATAAATAAAATAATATGATATTAGTACTTGCTAAAAAAATACGACATAATTTGGTTGTGTTATGTATGTGGTGGGATGGCCCGCTCCGAAGTTAACAATAACAAAAAGGGTAAATGACGATTATATGAAAACGATAGTAGTGGTGCTATCAACACATTTGAATACCTCTTTATCTGGGTATGAAGAAGCATTGTTTGGTTCTACATTTCGCCAAATCTGTTAGACGCGCTTGCCTTTTCTCGGAAGGATGAATCCAAATCGCGCATTACCCCAATCCAAAGAGGCTTTATTGAAATCTTATCAAGTGCGGTTGAAAGATGATGTTAAAAGCATGCTTGAAAACTTTGAAGGTAAGAAAAAAGCTAGAAATACACATGTACGTGAGTTTCCTAAAAATTGAGGCGTTTATCAAAGTAGCCGTTGACTTGATTCCTAATTAAACAGTCAGCGATATTTAATAATCTCACATTTCCTAGTACTCAAACTGTCAAACATTTTGATGCGGACAGTCTACATGGATTTTGTGGCAACAGCCCTACAGTTGCCAGTATAATCCTTTAACTAGTATAAATAAAAAATTCCAAATCACCATTTGCAGTATCTAGTACTTTATAATTTCACCAGCCTTGGGGCGTCCTTAATTGATTGGGTTCGGAAGAGGGTGTGCCGCTAGTTATCTTTTACAACTGGAGTAATGCATATCAAAGACAATTTTTCTTATAAATATCGATTATACAGAGGCTTATTTATTAATCAAGTTTGCGTTTACATTAAAAATTAACTTAAGAATACATTTGCGAATGTCCATCATATGAATTCGGGTTAAGAATGCTTTATTTCTTCTCCAACATGTCCCTCAAGTAATCCAAACCTTCGTAGAGACCTTTTCCAGTTGTAGCCGTTGTGGCATGAACGTGCCAGTCTTGTTTAAGTGTATGCAATTCCAGTCGCTTCGTTAGGTCCGCACAGCTCAGAGCATTTGGTAAGTCTTGCTTGTTGGCAAATACTAGTAACACAGAATTGGCCAGCACCTCATTCGACATCATTCCGTGTAATTCTTCTTTTACGTCGTCCATACGCTGTACGTCTGATGAATCAACTACAAAAATGACAGCCGATGTGTTGGGGTAATAATGATTCCATAGATTTCTTATTTTCTTTTGGCCACCGATATCCCAAACTGTAAAACAAATGTTCTTATATTCGACTGTTTCAACGTTAAAGCCAATGGTAGGAATAGTTGAAATAACTTCGCCGATTTTGAGCTTGTATAGGATCGTGGTTTTGCCAGCACCGTCCAACCCCACCATTAGTATGCGCACATTTTGCTTGCTTAGGAAATTGTTGAGGAGATTTGAAATAAGCAAACCCATCTTCGTTCAAAATTGGTGATTATTCAAATATCAAATCTTTTAATTTGCTTTCTTTTGTTTTTTTCTTTGCTTTTGTAAATACTGCCACTTCTTAAATTTCTTTTCACAATCTCACGAATCTCTCCGTAAAGTTCTCTGACTGACGTGGTGGCAAACAGCTGAGACATGTCGCCATTTTATTCCTAGTGTCAATAGAACGATGAAAGAACTATACATACTGCAGGGATGGAAATTTTAAATTGTACGTTTTATCTTTCAGAAATTATAAAACTCGCTAGAGGTGAAGGCGACTCTCAAATATCGAAAACCACACAGTGTGAACAAGATACTTATGAAATGCAAGTCCGTGCAGCAAACATAGGTAAATTTCAACAAAAATAAAAAAAGATGTAAATAATAGTTCTTTTTTTCAGTGCGTGCGGGTGAATCTCTGATGAAGTTGGTTTCAGATATTAAACAGTATTTAATTTTAAATGACTTCCATTCAGTCAATGAGGCTATTGCTAATAACTCACAACTGTTTCGCACCACCCAGAGGGATTGTGACAAAAAATTAATGAAATTACGCGATGAGATGGCAATGGATTTGTATGATCTAGAGGAGGAGTACTATACGAGTATATTTAAATAGTACCTCAAGTATTCCAAAAGCTAATAAAATAACCGTTTTGATAGGAAGTTGAATGGTATTTTCATTATACCGTTGTTTTTTGTTTCTAAATTAACATTTACTTTATGTAAAAAGTGTTATTTACTGTGCACATATAAGTTGTGTTCCAGTACTTTTTTAGTAGTAAAACTAGCAGAAGAGAGAACAGTTCGAAATGTCATTCTCATTTAGGTTTGCTCAAAAAATAAGGGAACGGAAAATTAGCAGAAATGCGATAAAATGTCAAAATTCAAAATTCCAAAAGTAAACAGCCTAAATCGGACTGGTGAAACCTTACTGAAAATAGCACCAACATTTAAAAAATGAGTATTGGAGACGATTAGTTAAAATTAATAATTTATAATAATAATTAATAATCTGATTCCTCATTCAGCCAGTCCTCTTCACTGCTGGAATCATCCAAAAGTGAATACATCAGTTGCTCCATATTTTCTCTTTTTGTTTTTTGCACGACAAATATTAGTTTTTCCTTTAGTTTTCAAGTTGATCATTTTCTTTATTGAAATGTATCAATACATTTTTCAACCTTGTTAGCCCTGCCAATTAAATGTCAAATTTACAATATGCACATATCTGCTCGCCCAAATTCATGTAGCTAAAACAAGCAGAAATGTGCACCACTCAGCGCCATTTTTTTCTCGAGAGAGCTGCAAGTTTTGCTAGTTTTTGGAGTACGGGAACGCGTTGTAGCAGAATTAGTGCTAATTAGTACTAATTTGCAGGTTCTGGAACACAACTATAGTTATTGTTATGTCAAAAGAAGAAAATTGCAAAACTAGTAGATTCATGCAGGTTCCGGAACATAGCACTTGTTGCATATCTATTACGGTAGTTCTAACAACCGGTGTTATAAAAGTATGATCGGTTATATAATAACTTTTTTTACATTCTTCCAATCCTGGAACAGAGTTTTTATTGTAGCACGATTGCACTGTACCAGAACTGCGAGCAAGGACATTTAAAAAATTATAAAACTAGAAGATTTCATGGTACAATAAGGAGGTAGAACATCTTCGTAAAACTATAGAAATACAGCACTGATGTTACGGCCGCTTCCTGTCAGCATTATCCAAAATTCCGTGCAAAAAGTAGTTTTCATTTATTTAATAAATAATTTTATTTAATAAAGAAATTTATTTAATAAAGAAATACTCAGACTTGCTTTCAAAGTTTTGATTCAAAATCTTTTATCTGTCAATTCTACGACAAAACCGGGTAATATTTTTAATACGCGCCCGCCATACTGTTTATATATTTCTTCCAATCATTGATTTTGAAAATATTTTGTTTTTTTTTTTTCAAAACTATAAACACATACACAACATTGGCAGAAGTTGTTCACACTAAGAAAAAAATTGTTACCAGCTGGAAGCTCTACCTTACCTTTTTATTATGGTACAATGAAATAAAGGTAACCTCATTTCAAATTAGCATACCCAGCTCAGCATTTTCTGTAATTTACATTGTCAATTTTCAATGCATAAAAAACAGTTCCCATCTCTGATTTTGTGTGTATACAATGTATTTATGAATAAAGATTTTGACAAGGAGGTGATGTCAAATGTATGAATATGAAAAAAATTTAAAAATATAATTACATGTCTCTACCTTCTTAGTTCTATCATGGTGTATAACCTGTTCCGGAATTGTGAGAATGTAGAAGTTTTTATTACCATGACAGATTTTCCCTTTATGATATTGAAAATACTTGCAAAACTAGTAGTTTATTGCAGGTTCTGGAACAGAGCAATATCTGTAATCGTTATCGTGGTATCGATACCCTTTTAAGCCAGCTGATTCTTAGCTAAAAGACAGCTGTTTTCTAGACCAAAATGTGTTTCTAGTACCCCATAGACTTATTTTTTCGATCTTTTAGAGCCCTGCTGACCGAATTCGATTTTGTAGAAACCTTGTAGAAGTAGAAGATTTAGAAAAACTCGACTGAAAAACAAATTAATTTTGAGTGGTATGGTATTCTTTTCCATTTGTAATGACACAAACTTAATGGTAATCTGGATTTTTATTAATTTTTCACTAATAGAACCCACTACAAACCGCACCGATGAATTTTCTCAGGCAAACATTCAACGTTACGAAACAATTGACTACGCAAGGTAAATTTATAACAAACATCATGTTCTTAGTTGACATATCCTACATATCCTTCAGTAAATGGCTATATTGCGTCTAGTTTAAGAACAATCATGCACTCGAAATGTAAAATAGGATGAATGTTTCTAACCACTGAAGGCCCACAAAAACCTGCTTTGTTTCGTAAATGCTTTCTAAAGTCTCAAGGAGCTATAATATGAGGTCTGTAGCAAATTTGTTTCACAGACCCTCAGTGAACATTCGATATTTGAAATATACATTAGGGCAAATTCTTGGGAATATATATTATGGAAAATTCTTGTCAGGCGAAGTAAATAAGAAAGGTTTTTAACCAAATGAGAGATAATGCAGATAGGACAATATAGTTTAACTTCAGATCGGTACATTCATGGCACAATAAATAAAGGATAGTTCAATGAAACCTCAAACAATATATTCTTTTGGTGTCCCATTTCTATCGAAACATATGCGCAATTTGTGCATGTATTGTATTGCTTTGAATGTTTCCAACCTTTTTGGAGCATTTAAGGGATTTATAACAAACATTAAACATTGCAACAATAATACAATTACCTAATTATTAATATAATATTATTACCTAATTTTTTACACATCTTCGTGGGTTAGTTTGTTTTAATATTTAATTCTTTTTTAAGGTTAAAATTATAATGCACAGATGCTTTTGGGACCTTGGCCCTATGGGATAGGTAACTGTACATGTGGAAAAATAAAAAAGTGGCAAAATAAGAATTCATTAGAAGACATTGAAAATAATTCAATTCAAAACACAAAATGTAACTTTTTTTGCACATTGCTTCAAAACATGTAAACAAATTGTAATTTTGTCCAGCAAAGAACTAAGAGAATAATGATTGCATATGATTCCGGACTTTATCTTTCGCCATGAAGTAAAGAAAAAGCTTTCTATAAGCTCGTGCATGGCTAGGACTGTAGGTACAAAAATAACATTTATTCTCAAGTAAATTTGTAACAGAAAATATGCTTGTGTTTTTGCATACATTACATTTTGCATATGTATAGATTTATATGCATTTTGCAAGATTTAGCATGGAGTGCTTTAACGAGATCAATCGTCGATGTAGAACCATGTCTGGGAACGTACGATATTCTTAAAAAGATCGAGAAAAACGAGGCAACAAAAATATGTCACTCAATTCATTTATGTCAGGCTTAAATGTTCCATATCCAACAATTTGTCTATAACTAAAAAGCAATTTGGAGCTGACCGAAATATATGTTGAAGGATTATTGTTAAATATAATACAAAAACAATCCCCGAAAACTTTCCGATACATATCTGTTAGAATAAAAATGCTGAGCTTTCTAAAAGCATAGTTTCCCTCCTGTTCGATGTCCACACTTTTGACACGATTACATGGAACAAACTTTCTAAATTTTCTCGGTTACTTGCGTTTAGAATGATTTATTTCTCAGTCTAAAATAATATTCATATCATGTTAGAATCAGAAATTTTATATTAAAAAATATTTGTCCGATGTACATCGAAAAAGGCATTTAAGAAAACGAAATGTCGTATCGAATTTGACACTAATGTTAAAGTAGATTAAAATCCGATGAGCTTTTCTACTACGTTTAAGTAGTCTCAAAATAGTTAGACGAACGAAGTGGCACACAAAACAGTATTTAAGTATACCTTTGCGATTTTATACCCGTTATCCCAAATTCTCATTGAATGTATATAATAAAAATACTATTACGTACATTAACCTTTTTAGTACTTTGAATATATTTCCAAATGTGATTGACAAAAATATACGTTACAATGCTTTCATCTTCAAAGCAAAAGAAATTTCATTTCAACAAATCACAAATTGATTTATGTAAATATTTAACTGGCATATAACCATTCAAATAAATGTCAAATCATTCAGTTATTTTTGCATCCATATTCCCCGTGCCATCAAATGCATCTGTGTTTAAGGTTTTCTTTGCCATATGGATGTGTCGCACTTCAGGAGCATGTTGGGCAGACGCCAATCACAACCCAACAATTTCATTGGCGGCTGTAGACCGCAGGTGTTATTATTGATAAAAACGCCCTCTTCATATTTATCCTAGCTAAGGACATTAATTGGATGATGTGGCAAATTTTGAATTCGATCACTTCATAGTTATATTTTCAACCCCTTTAATGAAGTGCTAGTGAAGTCTGGGAGTTTTTATAAATAGTAGGATTGTGCTCTGCATACTTGTGTGTGAAAAAGAAAAAGATTGCGCGTAAAGTAACAAACAATTCATATATTTTTTAGAATAAAAAAAAATCATGACAATTACATATGACCGGTATTTAATATTTATATCAAGTACAACTAACCAGCACCCAACATACCAAAATGGCTCGAGAGTTATATTAAAATGAGCTTAAGGGCAATAAGCCTTAAGCTTGAGAAAATCTTTTTAATATATTCAAAAACAAAGAAGTTGAACCCTTTTATATAAGATTATGTATCGAACTCATTCTTGTAATAGCATTTAAAATTTAGTTTTGCCCCAGATGCTACTGCCTCCTGTGGTCTTAATACGTAGTAGTTTTCCCTTCCCTTATTTTTCCTAAATTCGCGGGACCCTGGTCTAACTGACAGTTTTTACAAAAACTTAAAACAAATTTGTCAATTTGAGCACGTTAAGCAGGGCTCCGCTTCTGATTTGAATCGATTTTAAATCGACCAGCTATTTCTGTAAATAAACCGAAACGTAACTCAAACCATTGTCAAAAAAACTTTTTAACCGAACCAACCGAGCATTTAAAAAAAATGATATGACAAACTGTTTTTCTACTATCATTCTAAAGCTGTATTGTCTTTTTATTTCTTTTCGGTTTGTTGAGTAAATTCGAATACAAAACTTTAGAAATGCTTTGTGTAAGAAAATTATGATATGACAACGGTATTCCTATCCCATTCTGAATATTTAAGTAAGTCCCTATAAAATTCACTTCATACAAAAACGTTTAAAAAGCAAACATATCGCCAGAAAATTGTGATACAGTACAGCCTAAAATTCAAATGATTCTCACACACAACAACAAATATGGAACTGCATAGTCTGATATACAAAATCGTTTGCTTGTGTGGCATAGTTGTCAAATTTGAATTTGTGCATCAGTTTGGCCAGGCCACCCATTGAGCGTATGGGAAATTTCAAATGGACGTAATCCTTTTCTGTGTGTTTGCCTTTTGCTATTGTTGTACCATATAGTGGTCATGGTCAAACACTGCACACGGAAAAGGGATGCAAATGGACAAAAGAAACTTGTGGAATTCTGACCACGCATTGCAATGAAAAACAATGCATACAAAAACACTGATTAAAATTGTGGCGTAGGTTGATGTATATTTTTTGACACCTCTATTGTGAGTATCGTCAACTATATTGGGATTAATAATGAGAATAATAAACGTTAGGTTAGTCATTGGTGGCATTTGTTATGTTTGCAACACCTGCATTCAAAATTCCTATTTGTCTTGCATAAATTGTGGACACGTTACAAATGAAAATTTTCAATTAAAATTTAAATTATGAATGCATTCAAAATTCTGAATTTTAATACGCATTTTCAAAAGAAATACTTTTTGGTAAAATCGGAAAGTTCGCCTGATCATTGTCTTTCATTCATTGTGAAACATATTTTCACTAGCGGAATTTAGTCGAACGGAGCAGTTCCTGCTTATTTCGTCCATCGAATTTAAATATATAAAAGTTAAGAGTACTTTAAAGGTAGATATCACAAATGCAATTTAAAACCAGTAATGAAAGTCTTAAAGTCGGGCGGGGCCGACTTTATGATACCCTACACCACTTTGCTAATTTAGTAGAGCTCCGCATAAGAATTAAAAGTTTTTATGGGAGTATTCAATCATACACGCTATGATTGTAATTGTAATTTAAAGTTCAAAGGACTAAATATGCCGAAGCATTTGTATCTTTTAAATTCGGACTTGTATTGCCCATTTGGTGCACAATTAATTTGAAATCGGATAAAGATATATATGGGTGCTATATCCAAATCGGAACCGATCTCGATAAAATTTGACAAAGATATTTCTGAGCTGTATTTGATATATTTTCCGGAATATCGTTGTTACGGAGTGAATATTACGGCTGTGGGTAACAAATATAACAAATCGGATGAACAGTATATATGGAAGCTATAGCTTTATCTGAACCGATTTTCACCAGATTTGACGTACTAGCTTCTAGACTCAGTTCGGTCGTAAGTGCCAAATTCCATCCCATTTGGACAAATATTAGACGTTTGGAGCAACAAATAAAGGTAAATCGGACGGAGTTATATATGGGAGCTATATCCAGTTCTGAATCGATCCCGATAAAAATTAAATGTATTTCTGAACTGTATTTGATATATTTCCCCAAATATTGTTGTTACAGATGGCATATTACGGCTGCGGAGGACAAAAATAACAAATCGGATGAACAATATATATAGGAGCTATAGCTATATCTGAACCGGTTTCGATTAAATTTGGCATACTTATTTTCAGGCCTAGTTTGGTTGTATGTGCAAAATTCCATACTATTCGGGCTGATATTACACGTTTGGTGTACAATAAAAGGTAAATCGGTCGAAGATATATATGGGAGCTATATCTAAATTTTGACCGATTATCTCCAATTTCAATAGGGTTCGTCTTTGGGTCAAACAAATGATTTGTGCAAAATTTCATCTGGATAGGGCAATAAATGCGAGCTGTACTTTGTTTACAAAAATACATGGACAGACGGACGAACGGACAGACAGACAGACGGACGGACATGCATAAATCGACTCAGAATGTGATTCTATGCAGATCATCAAAAGGAACTATGGATCCATCTCGTTTCTTTTTGCCTGTTACAAACAAATGCACAAAGACATAATACCCTGACCACTATCGCGTTTTTATGACTGGAATTTTGAGAAGATATTATCTCGGTCCTATGGAACAAAATTCAATTACATTTGGCGGCCATTATACATACATTTTTGTCGTGGCAATTTTTGGAAGCACGTGGGATATATACACATAGCACATCATTCGCCAAACAAAACTGCCGAGAGAAAGAGTTAAAGTGTGACCAACGCGTGTTAAAGTGGTGGTGCCTATTTTGGGGATGATATTCCTTTGGTGCAATGAGTAAATAAATTCTATACACACACAACACCCTCACAGATGTCCAATTCAAATACAGAATACCAAAGTACATAACTCGAATACATAACGGATTAATTTGGGTTATATCTACCCAAAACAAAAAAAATCAATGAAACTGCCATAAATTTTCACTCTTTCTGCAACAAATATTTATCTGTAAATAGGTTTCAAAGCAGCCGTTCTATCGACTCCAAGACACAGACATAAGCATTGAAATATGAAATGTGCATTTTCACTTGAATATGACGGCTATTGTTCCAGCCAAACTCACTCGATATGGCGTTCAGTAATTCCTTTTTTGAATTAATCTCTGTGAAAAATCTGCAGTCATTGCCGAGTGATAATGGTCAATGGGAAAACGCATTCTTCTCTCCATTTGCACGCATACGGTTTTTTATAATTACCACCAAATGACGTTGTCCTCAACACGGGCAGGATAGATTCCATGGCGTGATTGATAGACATTATTCTCGATAGTTCCCTTTGTGGCTTCTTGACAATGACATTTGCGATTGACCCTTTTCACATTGGCATACCCATGCTATGGTAAAGGCAACGTGGTTTCAGTGAAAATTGTCACTAATAATTGTTCGAAAAGCAGGCTTATCTTTTTTAAGTAAATAATTGCAATTTTGGAAAGGCCAAATGAATTTCGTTTAACCAAACTAGTATTTGCACATCTTTTCTGAGGTACAGTTTGCCAGGGATATCAGGACTGGATTTCTGCAACTTGTTCAGCAGGGGTGTGTACCTTTGAATGTCTTTTCAATTAGTATGTCATTTTTAGTACAACCGAAAATTTATGAAATAATGAACTGATCTTAAAAGTATAAAATGAAATGATGTTATTTTTGTGGTTTCTTTCAGTTTTCAATAACACCTCTCAGCAAATGAGGGAAATGGCATCTTTGTATCAGATGCATCGCACCGGACCCCACGTCAAAATACGCCCTCCACGTCAACCTTTAGATGGTAAACCCTTTGCCAAGGGTGTTGTCCTAAAGACACTCATCAAGAAACCAAAAAAGCCAAATTCAGCCAATCGGAAGTGTGTTCTGGTGCGATTGTCAACTGGAAAGGAAATGGTAGCGTATGTCCCCGGCATTGGTCACAACTTGCAGGAGCATAACATCGTTCTGTGTCGCGTGGGTCGAGTTCAAGATGTACCCGGTGTAAAATTAAAATGTGTCCGTGGAGTGTACGATTTGAATCATGTTATTAAAAATAAATAATAGAAAAATACAAAACAAAAACATTAAATTAAACAAAACAGTACTTGTCATTTGCTTAGCCGAAGAATATGAAAGCGCGCCGTGCGACATTAGCATCATAGTTATGTCTAAAAAATCAGGGATTATCTTTTCTCCTTGCCTGTGCTATTTTGTGTGCGTTTTTGTCCTGCTCTAACTTTAAGTCAACAGCGTCAACGTATTTTTGCATTGAAGTCTACCATTGTTGTTTTGTTGTGGTCCTCCCTCTTACAAGGAAATAATAACCAAACGGGATTTCGTTTGTGTTTTTACACTTTGGCATAATCTTTTGTGGTTAATCTATAATTTAATGCACTTTGCTTTGTTGTTTTCTTTCTTCGATATTTTTGCATGTTCATTATTCGTTGAATAAGAATTGCCAGTCCTACCAATTTGATGGCAAATTAGTTATTGTCTTTTTGCTTGTGTCAGGATTTACGTCTCGCCCATACGCCTATTTTTTACAGCAATCGATACCCTTTTCTTACGTTTCAGTTTCTCGGTATTGGAGGTAGGAATTCAAATGCAAGAAAAAGATGTGTTTGTTTTCCATCGTGCCAAAGAAACACAATTGCACACTTACACGTCTGTGTTAGAGAACGAATCTCAATATTTCATCACATGAATACGTTCTAACTAAGTAAGGAATAAACAGTTTAAACAGAATGAGAAAATCATACAGGTGAAACAAAGCAGTTCGATTTGATGTTATAGACGATTAAAGTAAGGACAATTCAAGTTATTCAAGTATGTTAAAATATTTATTTGAGTGAAAATTATATATATTCATAAAAATTGCTTTTAAGCATTCATGATGAAGTGCGAGTAGTTTCGTAATTTTTTTTTGCTATAACAAGTCAAAAAACATTAAGTTCGACCGGGCCAAACTTTTAATATCCTCCACCTTAGGGTGGAGGAAACATTAGAACCCATTATCACCCATAAATACCAATTTTTAGGCATATTCGTGGGAAAATTTAAAATACCAAAAATCAGGAGGTACCGTTATATGGGGCCTAGACCCATACATACAATATTTCACCACACGAACTAGGACCCATTATGACCTACAAATACCAATTTTCAAATACCATTGGAGCTAGAACCCGCTATGACCTACAAATACCAATTTTTAGACAAATCCGTGAAAAAATGTGGCAATATATAAAGGGTGTTTTCTAATCCCTATTAAATTTTAATCAATTTTTTTTATTCAAAAGATCAATACGTGACATTAACATTTGAAAATGATTTCGGGCATATGGGCACCGCGGTTGTTCTTGACGAAGTGCATTCTGGACGTCCAATTTTTGGCCACTTCTTCGAGCACTGCTGGCCGTATGTCACGAATAACACGAACAATGCTGGCCTCCAAGGCGTCAATTGTTGCTGGTTTATCAGCATAAACCAGTGACTTCACGTAGCCCCACAGAAAATAATCGAGAGTTGTCAAATCGCACGACCTTGGAGGCCAATTGACAAGTCCACTTCTCGAAATCAACTTATCGCCAAATTTTGATTTCAATAGGTCGATGGTTGCGGTCGCCGTATGGCACGTAGCGCCGATCTATCTCATTTTCAATACCAACCATCCTAGACACAATACAAATTGTTCCGCTAAATTTTGACGATTTACGTCAAGTAATGTGGGCTGTATCGTGATTTCAACTGACACACGGACATCGTTAAATCGACCTAGAACTTTATGCTGATTATGAACATTTATGGGGTCTACGACGAATATATAGGGATATTACAAACGGAATGACAAAGTTAAAATACCCTCCTTTCCAAGGTGGAGGCTATAAAAAGAAGATAAGTTGTGAGTATTTACAGGTGGTATTGACTTTAAATCATATGTAAATGCTAACCATCAACCAGTATGAAGAGATATTCATATTATTCGTAATAAACACTCTATAGTTTATTAAGTACAGCAACAATAATGATGAATAAAGATAATAAACTATATACTACGCTTTATCTTTAATTTTAATTTAACATTCCATATGCCTCTTCGTATTAACAAAAGTTCAGCTCATGCTGTGCTGATGTTTAACATACTATATGGTTTGGAAGTTATGTGGGATTGTATCGGGAACCATTTTAAAAATTTAAAAGAAATTTTGTTGTCCGCTTTGTTTATAGCTGATTTTGTTTCCTATAGAACTATTGTTGGCCTTTATAATATTATTATATGTCGCAAGCCAACATCTCTATAAATAATTTCTATGGTTGTCAAATAATTATAACGAGGATTTATTGAGATATTTATGCGACATCTTTCTGAGTTCGAGGAACGCGGGATTGGAATCTATTACTGTGTGAACTAAGTGTTTTTTCCTCAATTACAGTAACATTTTTATAAAGAAAGTTTTAATTCACACAAAAATCTTTCTTAAGTAGCCTTTTTTCTGGCGTTAATTTACTTTAACGATCTTCATTATATAAACAATTTCTGAGAAATTGTTTACTTGGTCTACATTTTTTAGTTCCATTATGGCAGGGGAGCCAACGACGCGAAAAATAATATACATATAAGTATTGAAAACTTGGTTTTGCAAGCTACCTAATATGATTTTATGGCCTTGAAGATCTTATATTACACAAATAGTGCAGCCAATCTTTTAGGCAGTTGATGTAAACTATTTCGTACAGTTTGGCATGAATCGATTAATTATATCTCAAATATGGCTAATCATTTTATTAAAATTGTGATATGTTTAGAAAATGTTAATATATTTCCAATTTAGATTCCATAAATTAAATCGAATCCGTGTCCATGACATATCAGCATATTCTTTAAAACTCAAGATCATCAACAGATCCCCTCTGGAAAGAGAGCGTTGAAAACAGAATGAAAAAGATGGCTCCAATATCTATCCTTTAGAAACATCACTACTTACAGCTGAAACAGTTTTAAACGTATCTTCAGCACAAGCCAATTGTTGCAGATAAGAAGTCACCAGCGAGTACTTAAATTCTTCACGACACTCGGAGAATCTTCTGAAAAATAATTGTTCTACAAATGAAAAGTTATCTGAAATGTAATACAGAAATCGGGCCTAACTTTTATAGCCCACCAAATCCAGCTGCATTGAAGTGAATAGAACTACACCAACAACTCAGCCGAAAACTGAAAATGTCAGGGACGCCAATGAAAGTTGATTACCAGAAAACGACATATTTAAATTTTTCAGAAAGAACGTAGTAGATTGTGTTGGACTGGAAACGTCCACGACTTTTGGAGCAAATAAAAGTTCGAACTAACCTCTGCCTCAAATTGTTCTTCCCCCTCTCAAAACAAAATGGTTGCCTTCGACAAATGCCACCCATTAGCCTAAAAGGCTATCAGACATTTCACAAAATATCGATTTAAATGACCAATTATGATTGATTTTATATTTCTTCTTTTCTTCATCCTTTTTTTTGAAAAACCATTTGCAAAGTAACTAATTTCAAATTTGATTTCAATCACTTGGGATAATTCACTATGGCGAATTCGTTATTGGGTAGAAATTATCGAATTACAATGAGCACGTCGTCACAGATTATTACATAGCTATTTTCTTTTCAATGTTGAATCAACTTCTGTAAAATTTTGTGAAGAAAGAATGGAGAAACTGGACACATTCTCTGGAAATTTCATGCCTCAGCCGAATAACAATGCAACAATTTTCTGACTAATAAGTTGGCCTATTGTGCGACACGGCATGAGAGACCTTCACACATTTCTGTAGGACCACATCCTGCCGCAGAGGATGTGGCCGAGTAAGACACCACGGTTGCTTGTTTGCGTTGACTCAGCAGAAAACCGATCACATGGAAAACAAACAAGATATGCGACAAGGAATGCAATGTCCACAAACAGATAATATCCAGTTATGATATGTGCTTGCTCACATGAGGAACGATTCCCGTTAACTGGCAAATGGAATTTCGAATGGCGGCACTGGTCTTAAGATCACCAACTTCATATACGCCATTATGACTCGAATACCCGTTACTTGGAATACTTGTACACGATGTCGCCCATTGTTTGCGGAATCTATTGTGGTCATTTGCCTATTGGCGGCAAGACTGTTTTATTTGCCAAAGTCATAGTGGTCATCATCAGAGTTGTGTCCAGCAGACGAATGGAAAAAATGTCCTTTTGTTGATTTAACGTCAGGTGATGAACGGTATTGCAACTGCCTTTTAACGGTCTTCGATATCGTGGCTTTGCAGGTTAGCATGTTTATTTTAATAAAATGGTTAAAATAGAATCCTGTTTCCACTGAAGTGAGCTCTTTGATCTTAGTCCCAGGCGAAATAAGAGAACGTAGACAATATGAAATATATAATGCAAAGGAAAATGTTTTTCAGGCCCGTTGTTATTATCGAAGCGATCCTTAGGAAGGTAAATATATATGTATCTAGCCCCAAGGTAATCTCGAATGGTAAAGTTATTTCGTATATCAAATAGTAATCCCACACTTCTTTACAATATTGGAATCTAGTCTTAGTTTGTTTTAAAGTATTTGAATATTTTTATGAATTCAATTCTTAGTAAATAAAGGTTATGATAAGGATGGCGCACTAGAGTTATCCATCGTCAAAGAAAGAAAGCACAATTTTAAAAAAGATAGGTCCTAAATAACCTGGTCACATAGTTAAGAACGGTGTTAGGAAGTCAAGCCACATTTTTTTAAGATACTCATGCCATGGAAACACTGACGTAGGCAGAAATGCCTTCCGAGGTCGTCTTGGGAGGAGGTATATCCCCACAATGTCGGTGAACCAAAAGTATTTTGAGATTGTCGACCCATAAACAGTGAATAATTAACATCAAATTGGTTTTTATGCTGGCTGAATGCATCCTCGGCAAGTCATTTTTGTATTGAGTAAAGGTTGAAAACTTTAAGACGAGATAAAGAATGCCTTAATAATAGAGATATCGGTATTCAGTTTTTAAACGAGCTCCATATTAAAGCGAAATCTGTTGGAAAATGCAGTTTAGATCTTGAAAATGGGCTTCATA